AACTTGGCTCCAAAGGTCAAAAGTACCAGGAGGTCCCAGGTTCAAATCCAAGAAGAAATAAAAATCCCCTTGTGGCCAAAGAGATTCAAATGCGGTGCCTCCGGGCTATCTGCAAAGCAGGTGGTCGCCCTGGGATTAGTCAGCTCACATAATAGGTTGGATATCCAGGTTAATAAAAAAAACATTTCCCAAAAGTTTAAGACAATGCATGGCACCTATAATATGAATAGGTCCATAAACCATCACTTTGTTGAAGCATAAAAGCGAAAGGTCTAAAACCGTATGGTTTGCCATTTCAAAACTCCCACAAAGGAATAGAAGGCAGTAATCCAAAGATTTATGTACTTAGGTGAAAATCTCATAAGGGCTAATATGCCACCATCAAAAGCTCATAAGTTGGGTGAAATCCCAAAACCACATTTGAACCAAATTAAAGCCAACAAACACTTCAACTTGTTTAACAAACCCAATGAAAACCATTAATAATCCAAAATATCTTTTTCAAGAATCAAAATGATATTTTGCTCCAAATCATCCAAATATCCAAGAAATCTCAATTGATGGGATAAATATCACTTGGTGTCTCAAAAAACTCAATAAAAAAAATACCATAAACATATTTTAGAGATTTCATAACTCAAATATGCCCCAAAAGCACAAATGTTCATAAAACTTATCAAAAGTGGAATAAACCCATAGAGATCTGTTCAAAACTCAATGGAGATAGTTTGACATATATATAGTTTTGCAAAGCAACTAGAATTCACATTGCTAGATATATGCTAAAAATCTAGGTTTTACTAACTTCCTTTGATGAAGACTTAAGATCTACTAGCAAGTCTTCTAAAACTTAGCTCCAATACTCCCAAAAGATCCTATCCACTTACAAAGACCCAAACCTAAAGCAAAGTGGGAAGGAGATGAAAAAGGATGAAGAATGCTCAAAACCTTATATTTAAATTTGAGAGATGAAAAGGCTACTTATACCAAATACTCTTGAATCCACCAAGAAATGCTCCTCCAAGGCCTCAAAATCGGATCAAAGACTCTAAAGATCTTCAAAAATGAGAGCAAAAGAGAGGGAAGAAGTTTTGGAAGAAGAAATGGTGAAAATGGCTAAACAAATTGGGGTTTAAGAGGTTATAGACACCCGAGGCGACCTGGATCGCGACCTAGGTTGCCCGCATGCAGCAACTCAAAGCAGAAGGTTACTCGACCTAATGGGCCAAGTAGCCCAGACCGCTTTCCCACACCCTCATGCCAAGTTCCCATGTCATCATGCCAGGCTCCCATGTCATCATGCCAGGCTCCCATGTCGTCGTGTCGCGTTCCTAGGCCGTTTCTGGACCACTCTTTCGTCGTTCTTCGACCGTTTTCCTATATTTAAATTTTAATAGCAACAACAAAAATACAGGTGTTATATTATGCATACTTATTTACATCAAAATTAAATGAAATCATGTATATTTACTGATAATATAATAAAGAGTTATAATCGTGTAAAGATGGTATTAATAAGTAGATGGACATTTAACATATCCTTATCCTTATATGTAGAGTAATTTTAAATAAAAGGAAGGATTGCACTTCTAGTTGGATTTTATTTTAAGAAATATATTTTAATTATTTATAGTTTAAAAATATATACTGATGATGTTGATGTGACGAAATTGAAACTTGATGTGTTTTAAAAATACTTTTTTTAAATAACTATTAACTAAATATACTTTAGATTATGAAGTATTAAATAATTACTTTTTTAGACTACATCAAACAATTTACTAATTTGTAACCCACCTTCAAATTGTCCAAATAATTCCTATCCAGAAGAAAAAAATTACCTTTAGACTCGAAAATTGCCCTTTTCTATGTTAATCAAATTTCAACATATGCAAGTTATAACTTATAACACTAATACTAACTGTAATGGACATTTATGAAAATAGGGAGCCTTATATATATATATATATATATATATATATAGAGAGAGAGAGAGACGGTATATTTCAAATTCAACCATGTTCATTTGTACAACCAATGCAACCCAATTAATTGAGATATTTATAGAAATGATGAAAGTTTATTTATTATGATTTGAATATTTATGAAAGATGAATAGGGTTCATTAATTATGGTCAATATTTTATATTAGGAAATAGTCAAAACTTCAATGAAATCACATATTCATCAAATTAAATGGACGGTTGAGATTGGGTTGTATTGGTTGTACAAATGTAAAGGGTTGTATAATAACCAACCTATATATATATATATATATATATATATATATATATATATATATATGGGTCATTCAATGGAGAACTGACTAGTTTGTGGCAACCGTGAGATCTAATTTCAACCACAAATCAATAGATAAATTAAAAAATTTATAATTTTGATAATTTTTAATTAAAATTTTAATGCAAGGAYATTTTAAGTATTTTATCTCCTCTCTCCTCTCTTCTCTCTTCGTCCTCCGTCCTCCGGTTATACCACTATGATACCTAAGAATATTGATTCCTCCGACTACCGTCCTTTGGTGATACCACTGTGATACCTAAAAATATTGACTATGTTAAACAAAAGACACAGTGTGATACCCAAGCACATATAAGATGCATTGTGATACCACTGTATTATATCTTCGATCTACCACACAAACGACCTCAGTGTGATACCCATGCACATATAAGATGCATTGTGATACCACTGTGGTATCACCGAAGGAAGGTGGCTGGAGGACGGAGGTCGGGGGACGGAGAGGGGAGAGAGGAGAGAAAATAACTAAAATATTCTTGCATTAAAATTTTAATTAAAAATTATCAAAATTATAAATTCTTAATTTATCTATTAATTTATGATTGATATTGGACTTTACGGTTATTACAAACTAATAAGTTTTCATTTGATTAGACTCATATATATATATATATATATATATATATATATATATATATATATATATATAGAGTGGTGGTAGGGAGAGGAAGGGTAATAAGATAATGTGTCAACTTGTCATTGAGGGAACATGAAGGAATTAGGAAAATGGGTGATGAGTGATTTTTCCCCATGAGACACTAGCAATAGCATATCACGTTATTTCTTTAATAACCTTTGATTCACTGCACCTATTCAAAGAAATTTCTGGATCTATCATTGGACTCTGGTTTTATACATGGACATACAAATAAATACAGATGCATATATATTTATCCAAATCTTGGTCTAATGGTGGTAAATGCATGGTCATTTATATACATACATACATACATACAGTATGTGATCAACGAAAATTTATACAATTGATGTTAATCAACCTAAAAGTTTATATTAAGTTTGGGAGTTAATTTGAGAGCTTACAATCAAGTAAATATTTATTCTCGTAGTGAGTACTTAGCGAGTATTACAATTATTGATGGTAAGAGCACGAGCAACTTTAGAAAATCTAGACATCGAGATGTGTCCACAAACTCTTGTTATGATGCGAGTAAGAATGGATGAGATAAAATTTAATGATGGTTGTTTTGTTTCATAATATTTTAATCAACAAGGGCGTTAAGAAGGTTGTAAGAGCTCTATTATATTATACAGGAAGTCTGTATCAGCAACCAACCTTATAATACTGGTGGTGTGTCATGTGTGCCAACTGCCATGGACAAAAGTTTCCAATGTAGTGTAAACCCACCGGCTTTACCGAGTCAACAGTGAGCAGCAAGGATCATATTGCATTGCATAGGTTATGTCATCAGTTGTTACACAAGCTAAGTAAACTAATTATTTGTTGAATGTGAATTATAGCTTCTTAATTATAAGATGAGTAAATTACGTTTTTAGACCCTGTGGTTTGTTGAAATTTTGTATTTCTATATTTATGGTTTTGAAATTACGATATCATACATTAACTTTTTTGTCCTTATGATTTTAAGTTTATTGTTTTTTTTTTCATCCCTATGGTTTAAAATTTAAATTCATTTCTATTTTAGTCTTTTATACTTAAAAGTAGTATTTTGACCTAAGGGACGAAACTAGAAATCAATTCAAACCATAAAGATGAAAATCAAAATTTTAAAACCACGGGGACGAAAACCACAATTTTTAACAAACCACAGGGACGAAAAACGTAATTTACCATTGTAAGAAAATTTATTGGGGAAGCTTTGATTATTGCTATGTTACGGTGCGACGATGGTTATTACTAAATTTTGGATTTACTGAGCTATTTAATCGACCCGTATCATACATTGTAGGAGCCAAAAACTTCGGATGTCGATAAGGGCAAGGGACAAACGTAACTGTAGCGTAGATGCTAGCGATTTCAATTGCTTGCTGAAGACGTACTATGTCTTTGATGTAATTTAAAAAGAAATTATTGTCGTCGATACATAAGAAACATGCCGTAATTTTTGGTTACGAGTTTCTTGTTCGAGACATCTTAGGATAGATGCTAATTGCTAAAACAAAGTTTTTAAAAGTATGTTCCTTAAAATAGAAACCAAAACAAAATACATTCCATTTTGATACAATTTACTCTTTAAACGATACTCATTGGCAATTAATGTAAAAAAGAACATCATAAAAACTCTGACTGCATTTATCGTATATAAATATTATGTACTTCAAAGAAGGTTAGTTATAAAATAGAAACAAGAACAAAATCCTGATTTTCCAAAATACAGGTTTTAAAACCTTGTTTATCAAAATAAAAACGAAAACATAGTTAGTTATATTTTAATAACTTTTGTGACGAGCAAATTTGTTTCCTAGAAAAACCTTTATAATTGGACCCGAAACGAGTTCCAACGAAACTGGCCTCAAATGAGACCAGTTTCAAGTCTAACAGGGCTCGGTCTTAATGTGACCTAGTGTTAACTAGGTCTCACCGATCCCAATTATAACCGTGTTTCTCAGTAAAAGGTAATATCGTGACAGCAACGATAAACTTTGTATTCAGACAACAGCAATTTCATTACTTCAAGCATTTTCTTTGAGCAATAAACCAATAATCATCTAAATAAACAAACCCGATGATAATAATAATAATAATAATAATGAACAACATAAAACATGAAAAGAAATATGCGATCTACTTCACAAACATTTTACAACAGAGGTTGGCGGACGAGTAGACCCCTCATAATCGGTGAACTACGTCGAACCAGAACAATATAGAAGTTGGTGCATATATGACACGGACTTGCTGCAGCGCGAGTGTGCCACTAGTCAAAACCGCTTTTGCACCGCCCTTGATTCGAGTTTGAGAAACCGACACGCTATCACCGTTTCGCTTAGCGGTGGATAGCGGTAATGGCTCACAGCCGCCAGCGGTGGTGATGATGGCATAGGAGAGATAGTCTAAGGGATTCGACTCACATTGCAGATTACAGTCTTCGATGATCAATCTACCGCTTCTGTGAAGCAAGCAGCACCCCAACTCCGCCTTTACTGTCAGCTTTGCCAATTTGCAAGTTGATCGAAACTCCAATGCACTGATAAATCACAAAAAATATGCATACAATTGTGAGCAACAAAAGGAGGGAGGGGGTCACCGAAGTAGTGGAAATTCTTGATGCATTCGCTTTAATTCAATGTGTGCTCCCCTAATTTAACAGAAATGGTTGCAGCCTACTGGTATTGTCATTATAATATGACACTTGGGTGTTGCAAAAACCACTTGTATGTCATTTTAAACTAAACCGTACATTTTAAAATTAATTTTTGTTTTATCGTGGTTAGCAGTCATAGGTCAAATAGCAGTGGTCAAATGGCGGTTCCACAATCAGCGGTGCTATTGACCGCTAAATGACCGCATCTTGAATGCAAAAAAATCAGCCGCATAAACGCTATCGTTGATAGGCTGTTTTGGTGTTAAAAAGGTAATTTTGTGGGCTTCCATTTAAGAATTGCATTCGGTTTTATTTTAGTCCAACATATCAAGACTTCACTATTGTTATTTTTCTGGACTAAGACACTATTATTTTTATTTTTTGAACTTGGACATCATTATTCTTAGTTTTTAGGTTTGGACACCATCACTTTGACCTCTTGATTTGAATAAAAAGTATTTACATTGTTCAACTATTATACGGTTCCTGATAAGGGAGTGGCTACCTACTGGAGCTTCGACCACTCACCACCGGTCAATTCCTTATTTGGAATTGGACATCATTATTCTTATATATTTTTTATTGAATACATAAAATATGTTGAGTTATGCATGCATGTATATAATTCTAATTATTATATGAACCACTATTTTTGGACCGCTATTACATCGTGATATGCTATTTCAAATCACAGTCCTGACCGCGATTTCATATTTTGACCGCTGTAACAGCATAGACGAGCCTCTATCCCTTGTGGCAGTGGAAAGGCTTGGGTACATCATACCCTCCCCAAACCCTACTTTGTGTGATATACTGGCATGTTTTTGTTTGGTTACGCGACCCCTAAGCACCAAGGCTCTTAGGCTCTATGAGGAATTCCTATTGACATTTCCTTCGCATTTTGGGAAGGTCATCGTGATGAGTGAAACAATGACATTTTGATCACAAATGAGTCAAGCTACTAGCTACTCCAGAAGGTCTCCCCTTTTAGGGTGCATCTCGACATCTAGTATGCGGATGAGACTGAATGGGTGAGAGTGAAAAAATTATTAAAAGTTCTAGGGTTTTAATTTGACATGGATTGTTAAGTAATTTGTCAATCTTTTTCCATCTCCCTGTTTTTGTTCCACCCATTTCGGTTATTGGGTAGGACAGAAAAAATACAGTTTTGTCCCACTTAGGTTCTAGTCACAGTCGAATGTTGTGTAAGCCGTTAGCAAGTTTTTGTAATGTCATGTCCCGTCTTGTCTCGCATACCAAATGCACCCTTAAAAAAAAACCTTTTGAGGAAGTATTGCAACAAAAAATAATACTCCTGACATTCCAAAATAAATGTCCACAATGAAAAAGACACAATTTTAGAAAAATGTAATTACTACACTCTTTAATTAATAAAAGACAATATTATAGAGAGAAATAATTTCTCCACCTCATAATTAAGGGTAAAATGAGAAAATAGACATTTACTTTTAAATTGGACACTTATTTTGAGACGAAATAAAATAGTAATGTACACACTTATTTCAGGATGAAGGGAGTAATGATCAATTGCAACGACTCTTTTCACTTATTTATCGATATGTGTTACGGTTCTGAGTGGAAGGATGTTTTGACATCCTGAGGTTTCTACTTTCTAGCTTTCTCAAATTTCCAAGTATCGTATCCAGCTAAGCAAATATAATCTACCATAGTTCAATGACACTTTCAGGGGGATTATATTTGACTAAATCTAGGTATCTGAATACATTACTAATTCAATTCCCTAAAATCAGAATTAGTCAAGTAAAGAAAAAGGTGTTGAAATATGCAAACCTGTCTGAGCCCCGGGAACATAGGAGTGTCGTATCATCAGGAAGCTCACCTCCTCCAATCTGAACAATTGAATTATAGGAAAATGGTAATGTTCTATGGTGAAAACCTACATGCTTAAGTTCTTCAACAATACACAAATAGAACATATGCTACAAATATCATTCAATGCGCTTAAGTTCGATACTGACTTTTATTACTAAAACACCCTTATTCAATTTATCTTCTATTCCTCCTGGCTTATGTAAACCTCACTGCTTGTTTAAAGCATTCAATGATGGAGAGGATCATATTAAGGTACATCAACGGTCTACAGGCCAACATAATGCATTCTTAGCTAATAAGTACAAATAAGTTGAGCATACATGGAAGCAAGTGCCTATGTTTCAAACAATGTGTGAGCATATTGATCTTATATATATATATATATATATACACACACACACACACATTATCGGATTCTCATAATTCATTAAACCATGTATGATTGTCTCTATGTATATCTAATACCACCAGAAATATTGTAAAAACATAAATTTCCCTAAGCATAATGTTCAGAAGGTGGGGAGCAAAATAATAGCAGGCATAGATACTTGTCAGCGGACAAGACAGTGGCATGCAAACTCTATTTTTCACATAGTAAAGAGAACATAGTAGCCAGAAATTGGGCCTTTGGTGTCAGGCCTTAAAACACAAACACAATTTAGAATCTACAACGATATTAGTCAACTGAGAATAGAAGGATCAACGAGAGGGAAAGATTCTGAAGGAAGGTTTGACAAACTATATAACATACCAAGCATAGTGGTTTATTGATTTGAATATTTGAAGCAAAATGGAACCCCCCTGCTCCGATCAATATGGTGTCCCCTGGCCTGAGTGGTTATGCAAAGTCCAATTTAATATTTCATGCCATCATAAAGTAATCAACACACAACAGGCGAACTACAAACACCTTGCAGCAGAAACAGCTTCTTCAATGCTTGGAAAGACCCCAGGTTCTGTTAACCGTTTGACAGCCCGGTCCACTCGCAACCATAGGCGAGGGTGACATGCCAAGAAAAGCCATCTGTGGCAAACGAGGGCTGTGTTATACCGATCTGCAAACTCAACAGCAATTTGTGACATCATATGAAATCATGTTCTGCATGTATTAAGCCTCAGAAAATGTTTTAAGTAGCACACTGCCCTTTAACATTACCAGATAAAAAAATAAAATTCTAACTTCATATACGAAAAAGCTTTGTGTTCTTCTGAACCCAAATTCAAATAACCGTTACCATCCTGGTGCGCCGACTCTCTTCAGCTTTGAAAGGATTTCTGATGGAAGTCTATGTAGTCTTCCCACGAAAAATTCATTCAGCATTCCAAGTAAATATAACTTATATGGTATCATCATGCTCAGTGTCCTCTATAAGGCGTTGAGGAGGAAACAGAAATACACGTTACAGTTCAGATAAATTGTACTTGGTCCTTGATTGGTTGTCATACTTTGACTTTGAACATCAAACGAAATACTTCCAGTTTCAAAGTGAATATGAAGTTGAGGGAAAAACCATTAACCACATCCTAAAGTACCATAAATAGAAAAAAGAGCTTATGTTGAAAATATGAAATAACATATACTAATTATATAAACCTGGCAAATACAAGTTTGACGATCGAAGTCAAAGGATGGCAACTAATAGCAAATGGAAGGCTGACTTACTTTTGGAATTCTTGGTAGAAGTTTGTAATTAAATTTCTCATACTCAATAAATTGGAAGTTAGGGTGGCCTACATCATCCGAGTATGTTATCACTTTTTGAACGCAAGAGAAAACTGCAAAAGTGCAGTCAACCATACTACCAATGACATCGTATCTACCCTAGATAATACAAGCATAGCTTCAATTATTTTATCAATCAATATTGCAATCACTAACCCATCACCCCAGTTCCGCTCAGACCCACTTAATAAATCATGTGGTGAGCAATTGCCACTTTAAAGGGGTATTTCAGTCGTCTATTAAGCTAATTGTACCAAACACCTTAACCACATGATGCCATTTCCTTTAAGTTTAGTTTCAGTTAGAACCAATTGTAATCAATATCAATTTAAGCTTAAAGCAAATGCATGCTTAATCAGTTATTTAGCAAAACAAAATACGTATAGAACTGATCAATTGCTTAATCAGTAACCAGGCCATATGAACTACACACACATACAGATGATAAACACTATAAGATATGTAGAATGTGTATAAAAGTTAAATACGGGTTTAATAATATCAAAGAGGAGAGAGATAAAACTTCAAGCACAAATGATGGGGATAACAATTACAAGGCAGGCACATGTTGGTTGGATTTATTCCTTGATACAGTATTTTTCAAACTTTTAGTGTTTTCTTGTTCTACAATCTACAATATGGGCCTTGCATTTCCTACAAATAGAGTTGTAATTTCTGAGATTTTATTAATGAGAGGGGATATTTTTTATAGAAATTACCTGATGGAAAATTATCTCTTTCGGCTATGCACAGTGGTCTATGGACTGATTCTCAAGAGACCTAGGCTTCTGCATTAGGCTCCAACAGAATGATAGAATACAAAAAAAGATGTATTTTGCATCCAACCAAATGGTATAACAGAAGATTTTTGTGTTAATGAATAATAAAATAGTGAATCACCAAATTTGGTGGGATACTATTCACCAAATGGTAAAACTTTGTGTGTGGTGTTTTGTTAGTGATACCTTTTTTGTGGTATTTTGTTTTTTAGTGATCTTTTTAGTGTGTGGTTGGAAAGAAAACAGTTAAATACTGCTAACTGATCACCATTTTAATGTTTGTATTGATGTTAGGGTTGGAGATGCTCTTAGCCTAGTTGTTGTATTGCTTTTGCTAAGCTTCTATATTTCATCATCTTTGTGCATCAAAGTGATACACGAGAGAGTACTTTTTCCTGCGACTTCCTGGTTGATTAGGGACAAGAATGCCATTAATCCTATCTGCCATTAAGACTACCAGCATAAAGAGCTCATTCATCACAGCCTCCGCCATCAACCTTCAATCCAGCCACTGTCATCCAAAAGAAATTTTGAAACTGCTACAGAGTTCACCTGGAATAGTGGTCACAAAAACAACAATGCCTTGACAACAGAACAGCTACAATACTCGCAGTTGCGACTGTCCTGAGACTACTGCTCCCCGAGAGAAACAAAGAAAAGAAGATAAATGAAGTCACTGAAAGAGATCAGGAATTTTCATCCGCCTTCTACAAAAATGAGCACCAAAATCATCTTCTTGTAGCATGTTTAACTTCGACAGGATACTCCTACTTCACATTATGTGTGGGTTATTACTTGGTTATGTTCCACTTGGTCCAGTAATTCCAACGACCACAATCACTTTCTTGATCATAGTTCTTAAGCCATGGTACTGAAATATCCTGTATAAAGAAGAATAAAATAAAAAAAATGATCCTTTCTTTGATTATCCCATAAATTTTAATGAACTTCCTTTATCTGTCATTTCTGGCATGCACAATCACGAGCATATGATCTGCATTACTCGTGGCATGTAAAAAGGTATTTGAAATTTCTCAATCGTATGAATATCGTTTTTTGAGCTGTTGTACCTTCATCTCATGACTCTAGTTGCAGTCACTCACGGCAAGTATTTTTTGGTTAGTTGCATGCCTAAAAAAGGATAACCACGGTAGAAACTCTAGTAGACACTATTCTTTTGATAATACTTCTCATGGTGACTCACATAGTACTTGGCCTTCTTATGAGCATTCTAAGCAGTCAGCCTTGATTCTAGAGCATATCTCTTGCAAACTAAAGAGCCTATGTAAAGTGCTCTATGAAAATCCCTGATTCACTGGCTCAAATCCTCCTGCCTTAATAGATTGGATGGTTGATCTAGAAACAAATTTTACTATTTGTCTTATTACTTTCGAGAAACTCTACTATAATGATCAAGGGGGATGCTAGACACATTGGTTGTGTTGTGGGCTGAGGATCAAACATATATTAAAGCAGAGTCTTACATACCATGAAAGGAGAGCTTAGATTTAAGCATAGCTCATTTGAATTTAAGAGGTTGAGATACAAAAGCCACCAGGCTGTAACCGCATAAGTATTAACATAAATCTCGGTCCATGATCTAAAAGTTTGAACATTTATGAAACCCTTGTACAACCAGACCTCAATAATTCTTACTTGACTCACCATCATATACCAGTACTGGTCGGAATTCCTTTGCAAGCATCACGTATTGAAGATCTCTTAGAGCCTTCCCAGTTTTCAGAATTTACTGAGACATTGTTGATTAGTTTGGTTCAGACAGCTTGTTGATGTTGGTGTTCCTTTTTGAATGATCATCTTGATGTTGCTACACAAACATGCCCTCAATGCTTCTTTAGATCATGATATCATATAAAGCATATAGCTCCATCTAAAAGATCATTAAGCAATATCAACCATATCCGACGGAATGACAAATATGTTCATGGTTCCTAGTTCTCTAAGGCTATGTTTGGCTAACTAGCTGATAAGCTAGTTGATGGCTCATAAGCAAGTTGATGACTGATAAGCTAGCTAACAACAAATCATGTTTGGTAAAAACTAACTTATAAACATGTAAATGACCAAAAAGGGCATATTGAAAAAGTAATCAATTACAATATTTCATAACATAATTAAAACAAATCTCCAAAATATAATACATTAATAGCAAAAAGATGATAAAATATAAATAAATAATATAATAACCTGTTTCTGACCCTATTCGGGGACCTTTAAAAAGTTGCTGACACGTACAAATTTACATTTATTAGTAAGCATTTTTA